TTTCCTCATACTAGTAAAGCATCATTCAACTTCTTTGTGTCCCATTTGCAAGATATTCGTCCCTCTTTTGAAAATCACTTTATTTGTCCATAATTGAATATGTAATGATGAATTAAAAATTTTACATTAACACAGTACAATATTACCACACTTTCTCAAGCTGAAACCCACTGCATGTAGAAATTTGATAAAATATAGCCACAATTCTGATGTTAATACATCACCTACAACCAAGGGCCAACTTTGCCAAGAAATATGGTCATATTTTCCTCTGTGAAATAATAAAAATATTCTTTAAAAAAAGGATTTTCCTCACAAGATAAGCAAAGGAGGAAAATTTGCCTTATATCAGCAACTTTTTTGAATAATGTCTGTCTCCTCAGATGGACACTGCTATAAAATAACAATAAAATAAAATTCAGTCTCAGTCAAACCTATGTACTGAGACAGCATGGCTAGATTTGTCCCCATTTAACTTGGGATGTAGAAATAAACCATTGTCAGCTGACATCTCATATGTGGCGAGGGATGATTACATTGGGAAGAAATAGCAAATGCATGTATAATTCTCAATTTGTTCTTTAACAAAGCTGTTTCCTATCATCATCATACTATGACATGCTGTAACACTAGCATTGTTGTTAAGTTTCAAATATCTTATGCAAATAAATCATATGATAATAACAAAAAAAGAAATATAGTCATATTTTTCTAATGCACCTTCTAAACAAAATTTCAATCAACAAAAATATATTATCTTTGTTCTGTTTTGTAGAATTTTAAACAAACATAATTTAATGGCTGTCTAGCCTACACCAAACTACTTCATAGAAAATTAGCTCTACTTCAGGTTTCTAAGCATCTGTTCTATTTTATTCCCAGGGACTATAAATTAGTCAAGTGTTTCTGATATTTTTATAAGTTTAGAAACAAAAACAAGTATAAATTCAGCTTAAGCCATAGTAACTGATCTGTCATATACAAGAACTGCATTGGGAGCTACAAAGACTATTATAGTTAATCAAGACACAAAATATTCCTCAAAAGAATAACACAAAAAATAGTATCTACCAAAGTAGAATAAAGTAAGAAAATCATGAATTCCAACAGGGTCTCAGAAAGGGAATAGATTGCCCACAAATAAGGAGAACAAAGAATGCAAAAATGGTATAATAAAGAGCAGTGTCTAGTAATGAGTAAAAGAAATGATGAGAAAGACTCCAGGCAAAAGAAGCAACAGAAACAAATGCAAAAACATAAGATGTTTGCTGATCTCTTGAGTATACATCCATTTCACGGCTCCTGGATGCTTATGCTTCCTACAAGAATATAAGGATGGATTTGTCTTAATCACTTTGATGTCATAGTATTTAGGGCAAGCACAACTTGTTTATGTTTAATAGATACCATTTTAATGATAGTATATCAAGAAATGCTGGGTGCCATTTCCAATTATTAATGTACTTAACTTGTCCAATCGAGATATCACTGTAATTGATAGAAGTCATGTGCCTGCCATCCTTGTGACACTGACAAAAGGAGAGATGGAAGATTTCCAGTCTGTTTTATCCTCTAGAAAAGATTGTGGGAGTCTTGAATGGATCTTCCTGTATTCATTGGGTGTAGTGGAACTTGGGAAAGAATACATTTCTTGGACAGAAAAATTCTATAAAGTTCAGAGACTATACAAATCACAAGAGAATTCCACCAAGATTCCTTTAAACCAGACTCTTAACCTGGGTATTCATCATATGCTGTCATGTCTCTGAAACCCTCACCATTGTTTTCTAAGCTCTGTTCACTGTGTGCATTTTTCTAGAAAATGGTTCATAGATTCAATTGGGTTTCAAAGGGTCCATAACCCAAAGAAACATAAAGCTAAAACCATTAAGAAGGATCAAGATTTGCCTAGACCTACAAGGTTGAGATGTCACTTATGGTTCATAAAACCCTTAAATGAATCTGAAAGCCTAAGTCATTTCAGAAACAAAAATGATCTCATTGTTTTTGCTGACGTGTCTTGTTTTGGTACAATTTAGGAATTTTTCTTCTTTAATAGTATATATTGCTTGATAGCCAAGTCCATAATTACATTGTTGCAAGTTATCTGATTTCAGGCTTAAAACTTCTTGTCTAAGAAATTACTCAGCCTTCTTAATGTTGGCTGTTTGTTTTGGTCTAATCCCACCGACTGCTTAGTTTCCTGGCTAGGGCATGTCCCCTTTCAGCTTGGGGTTGGAGGCATGTCTGAAATATGTAATATACTCACTGTGAGGTCCCTGAATCACTTGAGCCCCAGACAGTTGCAAACAATGATTCAATTGAATAAGCTATTTACTAGAGCCATAGTCTGGACTGGCAATAGAGCACAGACCTCCCCACCTAAATGCAGAAACGACGGTGACATGAAATTCAATTCTGCCTCTAGTACAAATGAAAAAGTTAAAGAATAACCCTCACCCTGCACTTTCCCCTAAAATAAAGCCCAGGTGAAGTAGAATCCACAGGGTCGGAGGCTCTGTTACATACTATGAAGATGCTTGAATATTTAATGTTCCCAACCACCAAAATGTAAGCTCCATAAGGGCAGAGATTTTTATCCCCAAAGACTGAAACAATGTTCACAAATATAGAGCAAATGTTTAAATGATGGGTAGGAAAAATGAACTGAATAAACTAAAAACAGAATGAACTCACCAAGGGACAAGAAGCTCATGAGAACAAGAAGTTGCTTCCAGGACCAGCTAGATGGCTCAACAAGTAAAGGGGCTTGCTACCAAAGGGCATGCATATGTGTGCACACACACACACACACACACACACACACACACACACACGTAAAATACTTTCTTCCATATCCTTCAGCATTCATGTCCTCTGATCCTCTTACTATCAACCTCTTATGTACCATGACATCTTTGTGTCATTCATCATCTTTATTCTCCAAATGCACCTAAAGAGCCATCTCTTCTTTGAAGTCACTACTAAACCCAATTTTTCTCCAAATCTCCATAATACACATCCCTACTGTTTATTCATCAATATATGGTGACCATCTTGTGCTTTCCAGTATTGTAAGTGTAAGAATTTAAGACAATACCTCAAGAACTCAGTTAAGGGAAACAGGAAATTGTGAAGGAGCTGCATAGCACAATATCTGATGAAGTACTGAAAGAACACAGAAACAATAACTAAAAAATTATAGCTAGTTGAATTAGGTGTCTCTCCAATCCTGTCTTCCAATGCCCTCCTCACCCTGTTTTGTTCTCGAGGTAGGAAATAACAGTATTACTCCATATCTATAATCAAGACTGTCTCTTTCTCCGTCTCTGTCTGTGTGTGTGTGTGTGTGTGTGTGTGTGTGTGTTTTTATACTGGTGTGTACACATGTGGATGTGGATGTGAATGCATGTATGTGCATATACATGTGGAGGCCAGAGGTCAATGTAGGATGTCTTCCTCCATCACTCTCTACCTTATTTTTCAAGACAGGGTCTCTCACTGAATCTGGACAGATTGACTGGACTGCCTGGCTAGCAAGCTCCAGGGATCTGCCCCAGTAGCTCTCAAGCTCTCAGGTTACAGACAAAGCTGACTATGCCCAGCTCTTACGAAGGTACTGGAGATCAGTCAGGTCTTGCCCAGCATGGTGGCATACACCTTTAATTCCAGCACTACATAGCAAGTTCCAGGCCAGCTGGTGCGCTACAGGGAGATTCTGTAAAAAAAAAGAAACATCTCAAGTCTTCATGCTTACACAGTAGATGCCAAAACATCATCCCAGCCTTTTTTTTTTGCTTCTTAGTGATTTTTTCTTTTAATTCTTCAAAGTCCAGTTTAAGGTGGATTAAAAGCCTCCCATAAAGCCTTCCCTGCCCCAAATCAAAAGCCTTTCTTCACACCTGTGTATACACTATTGTTATACTTACCACACATTATTACAGTTACCCTTTGTGTTGTCCTTCCTAGACAGTATACCTCCATTTTTAGCAGATTATTTGATAGTCACAAAGGTTAATTATGTAAATGAACTGAGCAGCTTGCAAAAAGCTTTGACAAATTCTTCATTATCACAGTCAACTTTCCATTAACAGACACTCTATACTGAGAAAAAAAGAAAGCTGAGCCTTACATGCTCTTCCATGTGGAGTTCTGGCATAACACATTTATCACTGATTTCATTTCAGAAATCCTTAAATTGACCCCAGCTTCTCTGAAGACCAGAGCCCTGGAAACAAGTAGACAGTCCTTAGGTATTCTTTTTGTGACAGAAACCTCAATGGATTCCTGTCTTTGGTTTATGCCATATCATCTTCTTCATTATTTAAAATGAAGCAAATTATTCAACATTTCTTGGAGGCAATTTGGCCATATTCATTGAAATTTAAAATATTGATATCCTTTAATACAGTATTTCTAGGAATAACACCTATAGAAAGACTGCTGCATATGCAAATAAAAGTTTATGGGGATGTTTATTATAATAATTTTATAATTAAAAATAGAATGATAGCAGATTTTATCCAAAAATGTAATGTAATACAATTTAACCATTAAATAAGTAAAATTAATCTATGTGCCCTAACACATGAAGTTCATTATATGGCAAGAAAATAAGTTACATAATAGACTTCAGAGTCCCAGATTTGGTGTTTGAGTCATTTGTTCATTCTTACATGATAAAACAAGTAACTTCAGGAAACAATTTACAAAAGAGAGGAAAGTAAAGAAATATTGTCATTTTTATTGTCTGCACTTTTTTAATTATACAAGGCATGTCTCCCTAAAATACCCTGTAGTCAAATGGTAGACATTGGGTAATATAATGTCTGTAGCTCATAACCCACCTAATGAAGTGTTGGGAAATGAAAGAAACCAAATGATTTCATAGACACTTAAATCCTGATTGGTCTTTCAAGTTGCCTGTCCCCTGGAGCTGAGTTTAAATTCCTTCTACGAACACAAACCAGCAAAAGATAAATTTTACACCAGAGTAAAGTGGAGAAGTCATCTGGATTTTGAATATCATTTTTCCTGATAGCACAAAGGTAACATTAATTGACCCTATTTTAAGTAGAAAGTTCATTTTTTAAAAAAAATCATCTTCTCTCAAAGGTTAAAAAAGTAGAGTGAACGAGTAACATGATTTTGTTCTTATAGGTAGCAATTTGAAACATGAAGACTACGATTCTACTGTTTTGTCTGCTAGGATCAACTCAGTCATTACCAGTAAGTGCAATACATTTACTTTATGTTCTGAGCAGCCTCAGCAGCATCTCAGGTACAAACTTTTCTCTTCCTGTTCTCTAACAAAACGACTGTGTTCTGTGGTCCCCAACATCCACCCCCCAGCCTGTTTTTTATTTTAGTTGCCTGATTTTATTTTCCTAGGCAAAAGATGATAAATTAATAAGGTGTTAGTGCACATTTCAATATCTTGCATTTTGAAAATGTATCCTGTTAGATTTCAGAGGGTGTAGTACAGGAACAATAGGAAAGAAAAAGACCACATCTGACCTCAACAGAGAGAGACTATGTCTATTAGTACAGCAAGGGGCAACAACTTTCCCACGGGTTGGGGGCTACGGCAAGGAGCAGGGGGACTAGTCAGAGTCTTATATGGGGCAACAGCTTCAGGGAAGACAGGGGCTGTAGGGAAGACGGGCTGCAGGAGAGGCAGGGCCTGCAGGGGAGGCAGGGGCTGCAGGGGAGGCAGGGGCTGGAGGGCAGATTTGTTTTCGACCATTCTTGTAATTTCTCTCGGGACTCGTCCATGTGGCCTGTCTTGACATTCAGGCAGAGAGAAAGAGGAAGTCCCCAATATAGAACTGGATGGTTGGGGACAAGATGTTCTGTGGTCAGAGGTCCTATATTGTGCCAATTTCCTTCACATTAATTCTATCATGGAAGAATTTCAATTGTCTTGGCCAAGAAATAGGGTAGAAATCAGAGATTGTGTGGGTGATTATTTTATTTTCCAAAAATAATTTAGGATTTTCTTGGAGATGAGTTATCCGCTCATGATTAGAAGGGTAAGCTATACTTTCTGATTTTTCTAATTGAAAATACAAGACATCTGTGTTGGCTAAACACTTAAAAATGTACAATACTATGTGACATATAACATTATATGTAAAATGGTAAATGTTTTTTAACTTAGAAGAGCTCATCACAAAATATGTTCATATGCACAGTGGTTTTTTTGTTTGTTTGTTTGTTTTGTTGGGGTGTTTGTTTGTTTGTTTGTTCTGAAACAGGGTCTCCCTCCTATAGCCCCAGCTGGCCTGGAACTGGCTTTGTAGACCAGATCAGGCTGGCCTTGAACTCACAGAGATCTGCCTGCCTCTGCCTCTCAAGTGCTGGGATTAACGGCGTGCACCACCACACCCGGCTAGGGTTTTGTGGGGGTTTTTTTTGTTTTTTAAAGAAAAGAAGACTAGTGTTCCATCCTTCAGTCATCCTCCCTTTTATTTTACAGACACAGAGATGGGTTATTGGATCTCTAAGTGACTTCTCTTTGATCAAGATGCTTAAGTATAAGCAGGGACAAACACATTTGCCATAAAAGAACAAAGAGAGCCATCAAGTTCACTCGGCATTTCTAGAGTCACCCATACAGTTGATGAGTACGTACTGGAAGCTCTGTACATGCCAGACTTGTACTAGTTCCTGAAGATATGATGAGAGAGAAAGTAACGAGGGCGTGATCCCTCATAGGGCTCACAATAACTGTAGATAGCAACTAAATATTTTTAAAGAAATATTGATTGTAAGTTCTGTGAAGAAAATAAATAGGGTAAGTTTTGGGGGGCTAGAACAAAGCACAAATGACCAATATACCTCTTATTTCATGCCATATAAACATATATATTTCTGTGTCCTCAGTAAAAGAAGTTGTCAATGCCAATTTAATCATTGAAACAAAATGGAAAGTTAAATTATTTTATTTTTATTTATTTATTTTTGCCTTTTTGAGACAGGGTCTCCCTTTAGCCCCAGCTGGCCTGGAACTCACTATGTAGACCTAGCTGGCCTGGATCTAACAGAGATCCCACTGCCTCCCAAGTGCTAGAATTAAAGGCATGTGCCACCACACCCAGCTCAAAAGTTAAATTTTAAATTTACCAGAAAGTTGTCCAAAATTGTCTCTCACATATTTATATTAACATATAATTTGCAAAAGTTCAAGGTAAGTTTTGCAGAAGCACAGTTTCCATGTATAATGGACCCTAGAGTAGAAGGGAGGCTAATACAATGGGCAAACAGCCAACAATGTAAGAGCAGCTACATCATTAACAGGTAAGGAATAGGGAGATGACACTGAAACAATGCTCAGATGTAAAACAAAATTTAAAGTGGGTAACAAGGACAAGGTATTTTATATTTGTTAAACTATAAAGACATTTTAATCCATTTGCAAATGTGGACACCTAAAAGAGCCTAGTTGTTATTTTCAGTAAATTAAAAGCTTTAGAATAGGTTCCCAGTTACCAATGCTCTGAATATCAAAAGTGGAAATAAGATAAATTGAACTCATGGGAAGTGGATTCTCTAGAAACCGAGATTTCATTCTTTCAACAGAAATTTGTTGAGTGCCTACTATATGCCAGACTGATGTATCTGCCTGGGGTGTGTCATTGAAGAAAACCCAGCATTTCTACTCTTTTGAAGTGTATATTTCAGTAAAGAAATAAATGTTAAATGATGAACATCTTAAATCAGTTGGTTGCATATAAGCTAGAAGACAAGACTCTGGGAAAAGAACACAGGTAGTGTTAGATGTAGCAGTTCACATTAGAGATGCAGTAGATTGCATACTGATCAGTTCCAATTCAAACAAAAATGGTGATGGGGTAGCCTGTATCTGGAAGAACATTCTAGTCAGAAAGAACAGGGAGAGTGGAGACCTGGAGACAGGAGTAAGCTATGCCCTCCCCCAGGAAGAGCAAAGAACCTAGATAGCCAGGGTAGAATGAGTGAGATGGGCTGAGGCAGAAAGTCAGTGAGTCCCTAGGAGCCCAGAGCATGGGGATCTAATCATCCTTAGAGAACTATGGTTTATACTCTGAGAGAAGTTGGCAGTCACTGCAAGAATTGAGCTGGGGAATGACAACACTGAGCTATTGATTCCAAAGGGTAATTCACTCTGAATCTTATGTAAACAGAATACACATTTTCATAATCATTCAGCTGAAAGGGACCCCCAAGGACAGGTAATTCCAAACATTCCTTACAGTTAAGGAAGAAAAGTCTAAAGTAAAACCAACAGTTAGTGACTGACTGCTCGGGCATAAATCCAAGATGACCCAAGAGCCGGTGCAGCTGGCAGGCCACCCCTCCTGCCCTCTAGGATGCCTTCAGGAGCAAAAACAATCTGAGGTGAGCCTGGGGCAAAGGATTTATTTTATTCAGTGACTAAGATCACTGTAGGAATTCTAGTGCTGTCTCTGTCATTGACCAGGTCACCTTGGGCAGGTACTTGGTTTCTCTAATCTATAAAATAAACCCAACTTAAATTTAATGATACTTAATATACTATGTAAGTACTCTGGTCAGGAAAGAGACTGACCTTCCATTACAGGATTGGTATATCATACACTAGGCAAAAGTGGAAAGCTTCAAAAAATACAGTAAGATTTATGGAAGTTAATTCAAACACTGCAAAAAAAGAAAATGTGCATAGAACTAAGATGCAGAGTATGTCACATGTCCTGGCAAAGGAGAAAAGCAATTACAGGAAATAAACGGGAGCCAGGGACAACCAGCAGAATCCTATTTGCTCAGCACATCTTTTCTAAATCTCACTCCTTTTGACCTGACATTTTCCCATCTTATGAGTCTGTATCCTGCCAAGTACAAAATGTTCCAGGAATTAAAACTGCAAAATGCATGGAGCTTAAAGACAGAGTTTTGTTTGGTGGACAACCTGTGACCTTCCGGATATAAACAGATACAAAACCTCAAACACATCCCTCTTGCCTTATCAGATATTTATATTCACAGAAACAGCTTAGCCCTGCTCTGGGACTTCCTCCAACAAAACCAACTCCAAATCAGGTGACACTGCAAAACCAACAGCAGCCAAGTCAGGTAAGCATCCCACAATAATGAGATTTTCAAACCAGCAAAAAAAAAGCATGCCAAGACTGGCAAATTTTAAAAAATAAAGATTTGCACAGACTGAAGAAAATTTTCCTTTGGGATAGATAAAAAGGAAAAAATGTCACTTTCTTTACATTTAAACGAAGAAAGCAAAGCACCCTCATTCTTTTTCCTTTTATGTGAGTAGTCATTTGGTTTAGCAACTAAATCTAGTTTGTTTTGGAAAATTATAGCATTACTTATTTTAAAAACTTGGGCATCTATGACCTTGGGCTACTGTAACATAGCCTATGTAGAGTTTGTAAAGATAACAGAGAGTAAGAGGTGTATAGACAAATAACTGCAGTTTTCCTAGTGGTTTTCTGTGGGCATGTGTGGTGAATTCATGTGTCTGCATATGAGACCAGAGGTTGACATCAGGTATCTTCTCTATTGTTGTCCTCATGTTTTGAGGCAGGGTCTCTCACAGAACCTGGAGCTTACCTATTGGCTAGACTGGCTGGCTAGCAAGTCCCTGAAATCCTCCCTCTCTACCTCCCAGCCTTGGGGTTACAGACACACCACCATGCCCAACTTTTTACGTGGGTGCAGAGGCTCTGAACTCAGATCCTTTTGTTTGCACAGCAAACACTTCATCCACTGAGCATCTCTCCATAGCCTTCTCCTAGTTTTCTTAAGATTCATTATCAGCATGAGCTGGTGTGTTTTCCTGTAAAATCTGTTTTTTCAAAGCATATCTAAATAACTTTGAAAACCGTGTTGTATTTTGACTTCTTTGTTCTCTATCCCACCAACTCTTAAACTGCTTGCCTTCATCTAAACTCTGAAATACTAAGCAAAAGTACTAGAATTTCAAGCTGTCTCTTTAGGTACTGAACATTATAGAACATTCTAGTCAAGAGTCAATCTAACTCCTTAAAAAACTTGCAGCATATACAACTGGAGACATTCTTTAGAAAATGGAATAAAAAACTGATATGTAAAATTAAGCACTGAAACAAAAATTTATAATGAATTCCAAAGTAAATTAGCTGATAAATAGCATAAACATGATACACTGTTAAGGCATCCAGGACCACACAGGGGAAAATGAGGCCTAATGAGGACCACTCAAGGGTATTGAGAAACCCTGGACCTTGCCTTCATTTACTTTCATGGTAAATATACCTTTGGCAGTAGCATAAATAACATGAGAATATCTACCATATGACAGAGTAATAGAAGCAGATAACCTCTCATCTAATAAACCAATTTCAATGTCCTGCAGGTCTTTCCTTCTTTAAATTTAATACCGTTAACACAGCTGCTCACTCTGGGGTCAGATCTGCAGTTGGTAAGTACTCTTTTATATCGTCTTAATACCCATGGATTAGTAAATGTAGCACCTAATGTTGAACATGGGGGAGGGGCAAGGATATATAGAAATGTCTACCCACAAGTGCGCATGCACACTTGCTCACTGCAGATCAGCCAAAGGAGGCACAAGAGTAAAAGAGAGATGGATGCTATTCAGTAGATCCCTTAGAAGTTTTCCTAACAAGGCTCCCTGAAAGAACTGATCTCATTCTTTTTACTTCAGTTCCTGACACATCTTCTCCAAAATCCTGCCCTGAATTCCTCCACCAGTCCTTCCTTGATATCTTCTATAATATACACATGCCTACATAAATGCTCTGATCTTCGCTCTTCTCACAGAACACCTGTGAAGTTTAATCTGTTTGGGGAAGAAAAATAAGTTCCTGTACTGATTTTTTTTCCAATAGTCAGGTTTAAATATACCATTAATCCACATTCCAGAATAGATACTTCATTCTGCACTTCACAATTTGTGTGGGAATCCCTATAAAAGAATTTATTTAGCTGGGCGTGGTGGTGCACACCTTTAATCCCAGCACTTGGGAAGCAGAGGCAGGTGGATCTCCGTTGGAGGCCAGCCTAGTCTACATAGTGACTTCCAGGACAGCCGGTGCTACAGGGAGACCCTATCTCAAAAAAAGAATTTATTTCTTCATGGGAAAAAAAGCAATCAAATTTTCCAAGACCTTTATTGTAGCCAGAAGATACTCTCAGAGACAGAGTTAAATGCCAAAGAAAAAAATTTAAGGCAGGAGGATCTACAAGATGGCTTAGTATATAAAAATACTTTCTGTGATTCTGTGAAGGTCTGACAGCCTGAGTTTGGTCCCAGGAACCCATGAAAAGTGGAAAGAGAGAACAGAAAGTTCCTCACAAGGATGTTCTCTGACCTCCATAAGCACATACTATGGCATGCACACACCCACTCCCTACACACACACACACACACACACACAAACACACACATCATATACACAAATACAATAAGATTTTTTAATTAAAAGTTTTAAAATTTGGAGCTGGAGCAATGGCTCAGTGGTTAGGAGAACTGGCTGCTCTTGCGGAGGACCTGGGTGCGATTCCCAGCACACACACGGCAGCTAACACCCAGTTCAGGGGATCTGATGCCCTCTTCTGATCTCTGCAGGCACTGTGTGACACGGGTGCACTTACACACATGTAGGCAGTACACTCATACATAAAATAAGAGTAATAAATAAAATATTTTAAAGTTTTAAAATTTAATATGGGGCTGGAGAGATTTATCAGTAGTTAAGAACACATACTGCTGTTACAGAGGATCTGAGTTTGGTTTCCAACACCCATGTATAGTGGTTCACAGCTCCTTGTAACTCCAGCTCCAGGGGATCTAATGTCATTTTCTGACCTCTAAAGACTCCTGCCCTCACATGCACACAGACACAAATACACATACACAAAACTAAAATCATTTTAAAAATTTAAAGTAGAAGTTAGCAATGGACCTTATTGTGCTAGCAAACTAACAAATCTTTGAATTTCATCTGTGATTACACACACAATAGAATATTTAACTTTATATAGTAAATCCTCCCTTTAAATATATTTTCACATTTAGTAAATATATTTTAGAGTCCTGGATAACAAAATTGAAAGAAACATAACAAAAATCTTCAATATCCCACAGCTCAGTCCTGCTACAGGAATGGCACCTGGTGCACAAACTATTCCTTTGACCCTGGGGTCGCTGAATGGACAGCAGCAGCTTCAGCCTCAAGTAAGTTCAAGGTTAGGTCTTCAGTTGAATTTCCAGAGCATTGTCTCTTAGGTGAAGTTATGGGATTGAAAGAACTGTTTTCAGGATTCGTGAAAGCTATACCCAGATAATTTGCAGATGAACAACTTCTAGTGAACATAAAACGGTGTTTGGTTATTTGTTTTCTAATATATTCTGTCTTCTACTGAAGACTTCCTAGATGACCAAGATCATTCCAAAAAAAAATTAAGAATGGATAAAGTTTAATTTCAGCAAATCTAATCTCCTTTTTATGCTCTTTCTTCATGGTCCACTCAAAAGTCCCCAGGGACTTTCTAGTTAGTGTGTTCTCCCCTCCCACAATCAATTGCTTGCAGGAAAAACCCTGGAAAGCTCTCTCAGACTGATAAAAATAGCATATTAACATATCACCGTTTTGGAAAATGTTTGCATTTTAACACTGATGAAAGTCCACTCTAAAGTTACTAAAAAGTCTCTAAACTACTTAATAAGGGACTGGGAAAATGGCTCAGTAAATAAAAGTGCTTGCTCTGCAAGCATGAGGACCTCGGTACGAATTCCTAGAACCTATGGAAAAGCCAGGCATGGACCCATTTACCTATAACTCCAGAACTGGAGGAGCAAAGTCAAGCAAATCCCAGGAGCTCCCTGGCTAGTCAAAATAGCAGAAATGGTTAGCTTCTGGTTCAGTGAGAGACCTCTATCTCAAGGCAATAAAGGGGAGAGTGAGGAAGGAGGACACCCAACATCCTGCTCTGGCCTCTGCATAGATGTGTGTGGGCACAGACACCTGCACATTCATGTACCATCTACACAACATACACAGAAAAAAAGAACACATGAACAACTACTTAATAGCTCTGTAAAAATATATAATAATCCTCTATGGCTAGACTAAGTTATTTAGGGATAATTTCTCCCCAGCATGTGACCTCAGCACCATTATACTCACATAATGATCTTTTTTTTAATTTATTATGTAAGTCATATGTTAGTTATAAAGAATCAATAAATATAAATAAACAAGAAGAAATAAGATTCATCCAGAATCTTATTGCTCAGAACAAACATGGTTAACATTCTAGGATATGAGTACTTTTA